TATTCCAAATGTGAAAGTAGTAATTAAAGGAATTGAGGTTATTTAGGGATTCTATATAATGAAAGCTGCAAGCTTTGAAGTACTACTGGGAATGCCTTGGTTAGCCGCAGCTAGGTGTAATCTAAAATGGAAAAATAATAAATTGTGGTACACAATTGGGTCTGACTATAAAAAAGCTTCGTTCATTGCATCGGTAGTACCCAAAGATTGGATCAACTTATCAGAATATGATGACGATGACAATGAAGAAGATGTGGACGATATAATGGCTGTGCGAAGAATTGAAATCCAAGAGCATGAAGCTAGTGATGAGGATAGGTGGCAAAATGAAAGGTTGAAGGACATTGTAAAGAAAGCAAGTAATTTAAGCAGACTTACTATAAAAAAGATTGAAGCCATGGATTCGTGTGATCTAATTAAGAATAGTCATTTTGGACAAATAATTTACTGATCATGTGAGAATGAACAAGTTGATGGTACAATAAAAGGATTGGATATGGAACCTAGAGTTGTAATGCATTTAACAAAAGAAAATTGCAATGAACTGAACATTGGAGACACCATTTCGATGGAAAGAAGAAAATGGGTTGAGGAACAATTGATGAACAAAACCCCAAATGTATTCACATTTGATATGTCGGAAATAGAAAAGACCAATCTGATCCAGTATGAGATTAGAACTGGTGGAAAAGAGGTCCCACCAATGCGTGCACAACCAATACAGATAAACAATCCAGAACACGCTTATATGTTTGAATGTCAACTGAAGGATATGATAAGATATAGACTTTTAGAAAAAGGTATGGGTTAATATGCCTAACACTGTTCTTGTTAAGAAAAAGAAAAGTAGTATTGACAAGCTAAGAGTGGTTGGTGATATGTGACCACTTAATAAATATATAATTAAGGATAGATATTCCCTGCCGATAATACATGACATCTTGGAAAAGGCCGTAGACCACTATTGGTACTCCAGTGTAGATGCCTACAAGGGCTATTGGCAGATACAAATTCGTGATGAGGATAAGGACAAAGTAGCTGTTGCTACCCCTCTAGGTGTATTACGTTATACTGTTATATGCATAGGTCTTAAAAACGCTAGCGAAACATTCTAACATTTAATGGATAAACTGCTTGAAGGAGATAAATGGAGACATATTGCTGCGGCACATTAGGACGATATAGGACTTTGGACCCAGGAGTTGATTGAGGAGCATATTGTCAAATTTGTCAAACTCGCACAGACATTTAGTAATGCCAGTCTTAACTTCGCTGCAAAAATATGCTACCTACTTTATAAAGAGCTAAATATGTATGGCTTTATTGTTGAAAAAAAGGGCATAAAACCTGATCTAAATCGTATAAAGAAAATTAGTGAATAGAAAGCCCCTGAAAATGTCTGAGACGTTCATGTATTTCTAGCTACTATGAACTATTATCGCTGATTTTTAGTGCAATTGCAAAACCGCTGACTGAGTTAATAAAAAAGGACGTTGAATTTAAGTGGACAGGCGAAGAAGATGAAGCGTTTCAACTGCTTAAGCACAAAATGATCCACGACATAATACTAAAAGAACCAAACTGGCAGGACACCAAGAATAGAAGTAAGCTCTACTAAATGAGTATCGATGCCTGTGATACAGCATTGGGTGTTGTCTTAGAGCAAGTAGATGATCAGAACAAGCTGCGCCCTATAATATTTGAGTCTCGAAAACTGAACTCCCATGAGTTGAATTATACTGTAACTGAAAGAGAGTGCTTGGGTATAGTTTTTGGCTGCAATATGTGTGAGAGATACGTGGCTGAAACGATATTCCATATATGGGTTGATCATCAAGCCCTGGAATGGCTTTTTAATAAGGCTCAACTGAAAGGACATTTAATGTGTTGGGTAATAACCTTACAAGCTTTTGATTTTAAAGTACATTATAAGCTGAGCAAAAAGCATGGTCATGCTGATAGATTGTCTCGATACCCTGATCTGGTGATGCCTGAGAACCGACTACTGGATGAGGAATATGTGAATTCTTTGTTGTTGAGAGTTGGCCATAGCATCGATTCTTGTATAAAAGACTTGGAGTTGGTCATGTTCTATTTAGAAAATTTGCATTGGCCATATGATGTGTCGAAAAAAAACCTTCCCCAACTTCAAAATAAAATCCGCAAGTTCTGCCTAATAAATGGACAATTATTTAGAAGAGCAGGCACTGGAAAACCACCATGTAGAGTACTATTAAACAATGATGAAAAGGTTGAGATAATGAAGGCGAATCACAAGAGACTTGCAGGAGAAGATGGACACTGTAGAATAAAGAGAACAGTTAGAAAAATCTTACTGAATTATATGTGGGCTAATGGTAATATATACAGTAATGTAAAGAACTATTATCATCTTGTTTAGTATGTCAAATGTGTACTAGTAAACAACTTAAAGAACCCATCCATGTGATCGCCACTAGTTGGATATTTCACAAACTTTATGTTGATTGCATTGGTCTCTTGCCTAGAACTTCCACAGGTCATGAGCACATAGTGTTCACTATTGAAGATTTAACTGGGTATATAAAAGCATGTGCTCTGAGAAGTAAAAATGCCAAATCAATTGCTGCGTTCTTATGGGAAGAAATAATTACCAGACATAGCTATTTTGCCAAATTAACTTCAGATAGAGGTACTGAATTCAAAATAATATAATGGAAGAACTGACGGCCCGATTACAAGTGAAACAACAGTTTACTGCTAGTTACCACCGTGAAGCAAATGGCAGAGCCGAACGTACTGTGCAAAAACTGACCTGGATAATTAGGAAAGTTAGTGCAGAAGCACAAAATTGGTGGCATGAATATTTACATGCTGCAGTATGGGCCTTAATGTGACTATAAGTGAATTGGGCTACTCACCTTTTAGATTAGTATATAGTCATGATGCTATAATGCGGTTGAATTGATACTTGAAAGTTATCAGGTTTTTGTGACCAAACAAAGTTGGAGTACTGATGAACTGTTGGCTTTTAGAACGCTGCAAATAAAAGGGTTAATCAAGGAATTGAAAGAAGCAAAAACAAACTGGGATAAGTTCCGTGAACGATAGAAGAAATTTTATGACCGACATGCAAACAAAGGTAAAGAAAAGATTAACGTTGGTAATTTGGTGCTGGTGTATAATTCAACGCTTGATAATTCGCCACGCAAGTTGGATTATAGATGGGTTGGTCCATATGTAGTAAGAAAAGTTGGACAGAATGGTCACCTGTATCTAAATGAGATGGACGGCAGTGAGTTGAGAGATCCTTTCACCAGAAATCAGGTTAAAAGGTTGAGGCAAAGGGAACCATAGATGAATGAAGATAGTGAAGGTTGTGCAGACTTCGAGGACGAAGGTCTTGGGGGTCTAGCTCCTGTCATGACGGTAATCAATACCTATATATTACGTTCAGAGTATGTTGAACTTCGAAGACCTAAGTCTTGATTGATCGAATTCAGAAGGAACATGTGATTTAAGGTCCTGTGGGACCACACATGTGATATGGTGAGTCGAGAACAATAGTATATTGGTCAAATCTGTAATGTAATACAGAAAAGTATATTAATAATTGTGCGCCTTAGATAATAGTTTAATATAGCTTGTGCATCATAAGATGTAGTTTATGATAGAATCTTGCATAAAGTATGTAGCTATCAATTTGTAGCCTAATAGACTACAAATTTAATATATATAGAGGTAAAGAATTAATAATAAAGAGTTAGCTTTTTACCTTTCACTAATAAATAACCAGTGCCTTCATAAATAAATAAACTGTGACCTACCTGTGTGGAACTGGCCTTTGAGAACTTGTATGCCAGAGAAGTGGTGTTGTAAAGGTGTGTAGAGTAGTAAACGTAGTAAAGGCTTCTACATTGCAAAGTGAACGTAAACGATTTGGAGCCATACATACGAAATCAAGCTAGATCAATAGTAGGAACCCACCTACTACTAAACCGCATGACACTAACTTTATATTAAATTAAAACTGTTATTTCAATAACTATACATTAACTAAAATTGAATATTGCCTTAAGTAGAATCTGCTTAAGTAGATCTAAATTTAGAAAAATTTTATCTGATATACAATATATATACATATTTTAAGAAGGTGATGACTATTAGAATAGCTCTAAAACCTTAAATCAGTAAGCTTGAAAGAGGCATGGAAAGACTTTGTCAAAGTATCAAGGCTTTCAGAGTCTTCTGTAGTTACACCAGTTAAAATAAGTATTTACTCCTCAATTCTACTGCTCTAACTTGTATTTTGTGCTCTAATTAATAATAATAAATTATATTTTTCTTTTCTTAAAGAGTTAACTTAATCTTAAGATTTTTATCAGTGTTATATAATCTATTGAGTCGCAATCAATAATTTAATCATATACATCAGTATATATATAAGAGCTTTGATTACTAATCATAACTCTTTCTTGTTACCTTCATTAAACGCAAGGTATCGATTTTTACAAAGACAAGAGTTTACGACTTTTTTTATAAACAAGATTTTAATAAGAACAACTACTAAGATATTTATACTTCTATGTATTATACTTTTCAAAGATATTAACTCAATGAGTTAGTTTTTATTTGAAAGGAAAAGTATTGCTTTTATAACATTTATATTCTTAAAATAGTATTTATTCTACTAAACTAACAAATTTCTTCAATTATATAAATATTTTTAGTGCTATTAGTCTCTTTAGTATTATAATTCAACTAATTCCATTAGTGTGCTAAATGAAATTTTTGTAACCTTTGACTATATGTAGTAAGAATTTACTTTCTATTCTGGGCTTACACTAATACTAATGCTAACTATTTATATGTAATATCTACATTGAGCACTACTTAAAAGAAAAAAAGAAAATAAAAAATAAAAATAGAAATAAAATAAACAAAAAAGAAGTTTTACAATATATATATAGATCTATTTATTTATATATTTATTTATTGGTCTTTAATATATCAACTAAAGTTCAATTAGTTGTGTTTTCAGTTTCATCTAAATTTTTCTTTACTTCATCTAATGTTAATATTAATTCTTCAATAATATCAAAATTAATAAAATTATCCATAAAAGAATTCAAATTATTCAGCAATAATTCTAAATAAATTTCTTGAATATAATCAAATTCTAACTCATTATCTTCTTTATTCATTAAATCTATTAAATCGAAAAAAAATAATATATTATAATGATTTGAAATATTATCATTTTCTTTTTTTGTTACTAATTTTTTATCTAGATTTTTTTTAGAAATTTCTGCAGATAATGTGAGACATATTTGTAAGATCATTTTTAATGTTGAAGTAGCTAAAGATTACGAATTTTTGTGTTGTCATACTCATACATGAAAAAAGTCACTCTATTTCAGCTGAATGAGGACGAATAGCAAATATTTTTAATGCTAATGTTTTTAATGCACCAGCTTGGTACAAAATTTGCTTCTAATATGTTCTTGATTCTAAATTTTTTAAATTAAAAGAAGGATCATTATTATAATAATTTAATAATTTTTGTAAAATTTGTAAAGCTTCTTCATATGTAAAATTTCATATTTGTACAAATAGTTTTTTTGATATTGCAACTTTGCAAAATTTTGAATTTAAAAAATATGCTAAATAGTATATAGATTTATCAAATTCTTTTGCCAGAAAATTAATTATATCTTTATAATGATCAACTAATTCATAATCAAAATCTTCAAATTCACTCGATTTTAATTTTTTATAAATAAGTAACAATTCCGCAAAGATGTCATCTAAAGTTGTATTGTTGAATTAAAGTTTTGTAATAGCATCAACAACATATTGAATAATAATTGTAAATTGTTCATTTTCAAGAAAATGTTAACGACTTGTAATAATTTCTTTAATTTTAGTTAAAATAGAAGGACATTTATTAGAAAAGTTGATACTATACTTGAGACAATCTTGAAAACCTCCTTCATGATTTTGAACTGATAGACAAATTTTTGACAATGAATACCATTGAGTTTCACAAAAAGTTTGTAATCCATTTTTAATATTGTTTTTTAAAGCCCATTGTTTTAATTTTGTATTCCAAAAATGCGAGCTAGTAAAAAAATTAACCAATGTAAAATTTTTTAATTGTATTTTGATATCGTTGATATGATGAAATTCCCTTCACAATTAAATTAAAAACATATAAGCAATATTTAATATCAATAACATGGTGATATTTGTCTGAAATGTTTTTCTGAAGCCGTATCATAACTGAAGGACTATCTGTAACTATTGCAATAATTTTATCAAAATTTATTGCAATATTTTGTAATGAAGTATCTATCACAACTAGTAAATTATCTGCTGTATGTCAGATGTTAGAAAAATTTTCTATATTAATAATTTCATTAGTATCTTTAAATTTATGTAAAAGAAAAGTATATATAGAATTATTAGATATATCTGTCCATCTATCAAGTGAAAGAGTTAAATCATGATTTCATTAATTCAGTTAACCATTTCTACTAATATTCATGTATATTCTGTCTGAATTATATTATTTGATAATGTATATCTTGATGGTGGATTATAGCTTGAATGTAAGTTGTTTAAAAATAAAATAACGAATAGATTTTTAACAAAACTAAATAGAATATTGCCATATACTTATGCTTGTAATAATAAAGTATTTAAGTTAGCAGCTTTTTCTAGTAACATCATAGCTTTATCAAAATAATCTGTTACTAAAACTGCTTTGTGAGTTGAAATTTCAGTAACTTGTTCGATTTTTTTTATTTGTTCGTGAATAAAGTATTCTATTTTTAGCTGAAATTTTACTGCAGATATTAACTATATAGTTTGTCATTGCTTCTTTACGTGTTTCAAAGATTTGATCACAATATGTACACTTTGCATTATATTGTCAGACTTTGTTATTTTTAAATTCTTTTGAACACAAGAAACCTGACCAATGTATACTAAAATTCTTAGATAGAGTTATAAAATCTTCATTTGAATTTAAAATATTGAAATCTATAATATCTTCAGAATTTGTAATATTCTCAGAATTTATAATTTTTTGAGACTCTGTAATTTCTTGAGAATTCATAATTTAAAATTTTAAAATAGTATAAGTAAAACTTTTATATATAAATATAGTATTAATCTTTGAGGCACTTAGATTATAGACAAATAGATACTTATTTAATTTATCATAAATGAAATATTCAATTAGATAATATGATATAATTTGAATATTACTATAAGTATTAAAGACAAGAAAGAATTGTTTTTTTATGAAATCTTTTTCTACTTCTTTTATATATTTTAAATCGATTAATTTACTAACTAATTTATTCTTAAATTACTTTTAGAATAATCAATAATCCACTTCTTAATACATATTTCTCCTTGATTTGAGATCTAATATAAACATATTACTAAGCAAAAATAAACAAACAAATAAAAAATAAAAAGCAATGAAAATAAAACAAAAAATGATATAAGGTAAATCTTTTATAAGACCTTTTTTTTACTTTAATATATTTTAAAATAATTTACTATTGCTAATTTGGCCAGTTTTAGCTTGAATGGCTTTATTAGATTTTTTTAAACTATTCAACTTTTGATACACATTATTTTTGATTTTGGATTTAATACTCAATATATAATAAAAATAATACTATACAATAAATAAACAAATAAATAAAAAAAATAATAAGATAACGAAAAGAAAATAAAAAAAACAATACAATTTGGTCGATTTCTGCTTTAGTTAAATTACAGAGTTAGTTTTTTTTTTATGAAACTCTTTGCATTTTTTTAAGTTACAGCTACTAGATATTTTTACTACCTTTTGGCAATCTCTTATAATCAACTAGGTTTTATGTCTATCATACTTAATTAAATTTTTTAAGATAGTTGCCAAGTGAAAATGAGAATTAAAATAATTAATATACTTTTACAAAACCTTTTTCTACTTCTTTTATATATTTTAAATCAATTTACTATTTTATTGAGTTATTTTAAACTAATCAACTTTTGATACACATTATTTCTTGAGTTTGGATCTAATAACCAATGCATAATGAAAATAATACTATGCAATACATAAACAAATAAATAAAAAAATAATAAGATAACAAAAAGAAAACGAAAAAAAAATATAGGGCAAAAATCTTTTTTACTTCTTTTATACATTTTAAATAATTTTACTATTTTATTAGATTTTTTAAAACAATCAACTTTTATACATATTATTTCTTGATTTTGGATCTAATACCTAATGTATAATGAAAATAATAAATAAACAAATAAATAAATAAAAATAATAAGATAACAAAAGAAAAACTAAAGCAGAACCCTATTCTTATAATTATACTAAAGGTATTATTGTTTGGTCTAGTTCGGTTCTAGTTTAATAAAACCAGCTTAGCCTTTAGATCAAAAATTGGGTTAAAACCTATAAATAGTCTATTTGAAGCACTTTTATTAGTTACTTTAATGTCATATAGGAATAATAAGCACTAATATATTTATCTTATTTTACTAACAGTTATTATTCTGACATTTAATTCTAACCAGTAGCAATTAACTTCAATAAAGTGAATTAAGAAATTAAAGTATAATAAATACTTTAAATTTAATTTGCCTATTTTTTAATGTCAAGTGAGAAAAATTGCATATTACAGTCTGAGAATATTCCAAAAATAGACATTGAAGATTGCACCTTTTTTAGTATAAGGATGTCGATTAGAAGGTTCTAGATTTGATAGCACATGACACTAACCAATCAAATTAATTAAAAACTCATATGAATGCATCTTATTATCAATAATTGTCAATAAAGCTATTAACGAAGCTATTAATGAAGTTTACTTCCTATTAAATATTAAATAGCAATTTTATTTTACTTAATTTGATAATTATATATTACAATATTTGATTAATATTATTAAATAGTACTACCTAGAGGTTGGAACTGGTTTTAATAATTCGGGTTTATCACATGAAGTTTGTGATATTTTAGAATTTAATCCAATTAAAATTTAATAAATTCTAAAATATCACAAAATTCACGTGATAAACCTGAATTATTAAAACCAGTTCCAATCTCTAGTACTACCCATATATACAGTATAATCGTATTTAAAAACAACAACCCATATATATATTGATTTGTAATTAAAATCATTCTTAAATATCTTGAGTATTACTTCTGTGAATTATATTGATATCTATTAAGTTATAATTAAATTAAACTATGAACGTTAAATATAAATAGCCTTTTAAATCTTCATTTAAATACAAAAACAAACTTTCAAGATCATTTTAAGTTAACTGATGAGAATTTTTAACTTCTTATATAAAGTAAATACCTAGTTTTAACATCTCATTTACTTTAGCCAAGAAAGGTTACTATATAGGATTTTTGGAATGATTAAAACTAGACATTCTAAACTATATATTCAAAGCCTTTTTGATTTTACTAACTAGTGAAAAATTTTTTTTCAAATTGTACAATGTTCATAGGAGAAGAAGCATGTGAGAACCAATCACATTCAAGAATTTACTTGTAGATCATTCTAGAATGTGATTTTCTTATTTGATATATTCTCAGACTGTATTAAAACATGGGAACATGTAAAAATTAACATGATAGTTTAAGGAATTTAAATGTTTGATTAAGAAAAGATCATTATCTATCTGGTGGTTTGCTATAATAGTACTCCTAGAAAATGGATGGTGCTCATTTCACTAACAATCACTTCACCAACAACTTAGTTTACTGACAATTTAAATCACCACAAGTTTATTTCACTGACAATTAATTCACCACAGCTCATTTCACAGACAAAGTAATTCTGGTCATTGTCATTAAGATCAGACTAAATTAAAGTTAAGATTAGTATAATTTATAAAAAAAACTTGCCAATGAAATGAACTTGTTAGTAAATTAATTGTTGGTAAAATGAACTTGTTGGTAAATTAATTGTCGGTAAACTAAGTTGTCACTGAAGTGATTGTTGATGAAATGATACATATCCCTAGTAAATGATACTATTACTTTATGCTATATAGCTAATTACTTGTTATTTAGCTATAGAATATTGAAATGTAATATTTGTACAATGCTAATACAAAAATTTTTAAGTCAACTATTAGTGAAAAATAAAATAAATATAATTGGCTCGCCATTCTTGCACCATACTCATATTGATATACCAGACGGTGCACCATATTGGTGTACTATTAGCATTGTCAAGTGCTTTGTAGCAGCAATCCTGCATTATGGTAAGCCTGCTTAGCAAGACCCGAGTAAAGAGGTAGC